CTCTCTCTCTCTCTCTCTCTCTCTCTCTCTCTCTCTCTCTCTCTCTCAGATTTGTGGGTGTTTGTGTGGGAGAAATTAAAAACTGAAATCGTTTTTTGGGGTGTGTTTTTCAACCCACTACAAGAAGACTGGACAAAAAGAAATTGTCTTTGATGAGTTTTTAAAATCGAGTCCAGCCCTTTCATCAGCTTTGATGTTTTTTTTTTCTCAATTTCCATGGCAGCTTTGAGTTCAAGTTGTTCATCAGCTTTGATTTTTGATTTCTAGGGTTTCAGAATTATTTCCAAGGACAAGAACACATAAAAACCTACGAATCTGGAAACAAAATATAAGAAAGAGAGAGAGAAAGAGAAACAAAAAATCTGAAAAATGTGTCAAAAACTCCACTCGGTGGAAAAACTATTTTGGCCGGAAAAGATGAATCATACTTGGCCGGAAAAAGACATTGGAAACCGGAAAAACCTTCTATTATCTGTCATGGTATGTTTTAAACAAAAAAAAAAACTTTAATGGTTAAGAGTGCACAAAAAAAATTAAGTGACCAAATATGTACGAATAGTATAGTTGGTTACCTTCTCAAGTCATTATCAAGCGGATAACTAACTTGGTGAATCTAGCATTTAACTACTACCCAGTCCTACAAAAAAAAGCTAGATAAGTATATTATTCAATCATGAATAAAATTATGAAGAAACGAAGAGTATGTGTACACATGTGAATATGTGATAATATTGTTACAATCGATCCTAGATAGCTAGCTCAACGTACAAAAGCAAGTTTTTAATATTCACTTCAAACATGAAAGCTTATCATGGTCCGGGTTGCCTACAACGATTGTAAGCTGTACACTCCCTACGGTTGTATCTTTTAGGTGCACATTGGGAATTCATCCCAACATTACAGACCGGTTGACCTGGTTGCAGACCTCGATAAATGATTGGTCCTCGTCCCCCACGGTTAGGTGGGGATGGGGATGGGGGTGGGTGGTGCGGTAAACCCACTTTATGTGGTGGATTAGGTGATTGCCGCGGGTGGGGTATTGCTATAAGGCTTGGAGGTGGAGTTTCCGCGTCTGATTAAGAGAGAACGATTGTATATATGTATATATGTTTATATGTTTGCATGAACGTTAAGTTTGAACTTACTTGATAAGATCATGAGTAAGAAGAAAGAAATCAACATGAAAACAACTACTCCCGTCTTCTTTCCCATATTTCTGTCAGAGATCTGCCCGATTCCTAATCATATTAATTTTAGCATCGGTTAACTGTGACTATTAATTATAGATATTTAGTTTTCCACAACATTTATGTCGACTTGTTATAACTTCAACCCCATGCACGTAGTCTTTGCAGAATAACTCAACCGACGACCAAATCGTGGAGTATCAAGTACTGGGAGGGGACTAGAGACTAGAGTAGACAGACTTTTGATATATAATACTCATTTCAAGTACACTGAACCGAAATAGAAGGTTGAACATTCTTCGTTTGTAATATAACATAGATTGAAGTAAACGTATTCAAGTCTTGAACTTATAAAACGAAATAGAAGGTTGGAACTAAACACACGACTCTATAGCATCGCATGTAAATTCTAATCTCGATTACGTACCAATTATTTTAAAGTTCATTATAGTTTAAAATTTTATTTGCATTGTATATCCAAAATTTTCAAATAAATATTTGTGATATTATTAATTAAAATACCATATAATCCGCATTATTGCATAACCAAATTTTCTTACGATACTAAACGACAAATCTAACCTATTCCAAAATTAATCCTTAAATTCACATATGTCCACAGCGAGGACTTGAACCCTCAAACATGGACGGAGCATATATAGGGCCAGGGGGGGCTGTGCCCCCCCCCCCCCCCCCCCTAAATTTTTTTTATATATAGTCCATAAGTATTGAAAAGGTTACATATTATGCCCAAAACTATAAAATTTGACCTTGGCCCCCCCTGTTCTTCAATTTTTATACGTATTCTATTTTCGGCCCCCCCAAATCATAACTTCAAGTTCCGTCACTGCCCCTCAAACTCAAGTAAGGAGGGCAACACCGGATACCGCCGGGCTAGAAGCCTTTTGATCTTACGATACTAATAATGACCGGGAGTTCCTTGATAATTACTAGTGTTGATGTTGATGGTTTTTTGTTTTTGTTTTTGTTTTTTTAAATTTTTTCTCACAAAAGGTCATCGGTAGAACTTTTGAGACATTTAAGCCCGAACCATAGGGGATGGCCGGTTGGCCAACCACCGAAGGCCCATAGCAGTTTTGGGACCAATTTTAAATTTGTTGATATCTGGTAACATCGTTTTACATATTGGCACGAAGTCCTTCATCGAACTCATTCAGTTAGGTTCAATTCTTTAAACCAACATTTTTTTTCTTATTTTCTTCATCATTCTTATTTTTCCTTTAAAAATTATATTTTTAACATATCTAAAAGAGTTATATGACCGATATTAACCTCAACTTACTTTGAAAATAACTCATATTAACTGTGTTACCATGTACAATCTGTTGGAATCCCAAGTCAAGTAGGACTTGGAGATCAAGCAATTCAATTTGACGCAACCTAGTTTTAGGAAACTATGTTCATGTGGGTTCCTAGTTTCCATATTCTAATTCAGAAGTCCGTAATTAGACTAT